GAGCTCATATTGCAGAGGAAAGTTTATCAGAACAATTAACTTTAAAATATTTATAGAAAAGGCATATGGAAGCAACATTACAGCAGTGAAAATGTGACTGAAGTTGAGATGCCAGGTCAGGACCAATAAAATTTATAACTAATGATTGGAGAGCCAAGTTAAGATTCCATCAGTTTGTTTACACAGCAATAATGCTCTTGAGAAAAACATGGATATACATTTACTCTTATTGGTACCGGTTAAATACTTCAGAAAACAGGCTTTTCAAGCATTAATTGGCAACCAGTATGCAGAAAAACCTCTCAATTGAAAAAAACCACATAGACGACCAAGGGAAACAACTTCCTTCTCTCTTCCAAGAACAATTATGGGGCTGAATAGTTTACAGATATAACAGGAAAGAGGCTGTGGAGAGCTATGATCACCAATGCCCAATCATAACATGATCATAGCTCTAACAGTTACAGCTAGATAAATGAGTAGGAAAAATTGAAGCTGAAACTTGATCATTACCAAGCTGGTTCTTTTCATTTGAAACATTGTCACAATAAATTCTATTTCCCATCATTTCCCTACATTTGGCCTTAAACCAGGCTCAGCTAGTAGATATATCTGAGGTAGTGTAAAGGATCTTTTAACAATATCAATCTTTTGTGCATTTGCGTATTGACTTGCACAAGCACGTGCTCATCATATACATTTAAAGTTGAAAATTAAAAATAAGTCCATAAATAATGTTTGAATGATATGCGAAGTGAATATTAATTATCTATAATTACGTTTTTCTGAGGTACTGTCATATTTCATACACACACACTGAGGCCAAACCGCTTGCTCCATTAGCAAATACAATTAGAGGTGCATATTTTAATATACACATGCAGACACATGTAGACACATTCATGCATGTTCATTGCAAGTTAAAAACGATTCTTATTCAACAATCACTCATTTTCATAGCATATCACCTTATTAATCTGAGTGCTGAATTATGCACGTGCACGATTCAGTTAAATCTGATTGCGTTAACAATTTTGTATGAGATAACACCATTTCCTCCAAAATATTGCAGAAAGACCCATTAAATAAGCAAGTAATTTCAGGAAGCCTGCTTCAAAATGTTTTATTACTTTGAAAAAGGAGGAAATTGAGGGATTATATTATGGATTCAGAAAGAAAATAACTTTAATACAGCAAATAAAAGAGTGCATAAGAATTAATATTGAATAAATAACTTAAACTAGCATTCAATTTTTGTTTCACTGTGGTGTGCCAGGCAATTTTTCTCACCAGAATCCATCTTGCACATTTATAAATTTACTCTTCATCCATATTGAATATTGCTATCATATCTGGTTTAGTGCTCTGGATATATATCTCAAGATTCTTCACAAAATCCAAAGAAGGGTTTGTAATGTTATTGGTCCTGACCTGGCATCTTGGTTTCAGTCACATACACACTGCCATGGCTTCCCTCTGTCTTTTCTATAAATATTTTCATTGAAGTTATTCTAACAAGTTCTCCTCTTTGGTACCTTGACTGCATGAATTTTAGAGTACTACTAGAGTGGCAATTAGGTCTCATCATTTGTTGTTTAAATAGCGAGATGTATCTATAAGTTCTCTTTTAATAGTTTCTTTTCTTAATCTTCTCACCAATGGAACTCTCTTCGAGTTTCCGACTTCCTTACAACCTGCAATCTTCAAAAATTTAAATGCAATGTCAATCGCCATTTTCTGTCTTTCCTGAAGCCTATACTTTTGTTGTCCTTTCTCCTCATTCAAATTTTCTCATTCTCTTAAACTCCCTTCACTAGTGCCTTAGTGGCATTATTGCCTTGCTTGGGTTGAAATGATTATATATGTGTGTGTGCATGTATGTATGTGGATTTTAGTTTTTATTCCAACATATGTTTTTAGTGGATATTTGAGTGTAAGCTCTTTTTATTTTAAGCTGAAGAGATTTGTATTTCAGGAAAATCTGAATGAGCCAGTGTGCCTTAAAGGTATAGGAGAACCTTGCTTTATAGTGTGATGTCCTTTATAGCTGAACAGTAAAAGCAGACCTGATCAGATAGTGGTTCCTCCTGCAAATAAGGATGTGGGTTTGAATCCTGCTTGAGGGCACATTTTCTTTATTCAGTTTTTTTTCAAATGCACAGGCTGGTAGATGAAATAAATACTGTTTAAAATAAACAAGCATCTACTGAAATACAGGTATCCATTAAAATATGTGAAGCAATAATAATAATAATGATAATAATAATATATATATATATATATATATATATATATATATATATATATATATATATATATATATATGTATATGCATGTTTCATTAAAAACGACAGACAAGGTACTACAGTTGAGCTTTTTATTTAATCCAGACAGTTCTTGCACACCCTTTGTCCAGAAAAGAAAGCTCTTGTCAGAACACAAGAAAAATTAAATAAAAAGCTCAACTGTAGTACCTTGTCTGTCGTTTTTAATGAAACATGCATAAAAGAAGGATTGCTGCCTAAATATACATTTATATATATATATATATATATATATATATATGTACTTTATTTTAGGATATTACATTGAAAAAAATGTCAAAATCGCTACACAGCAGCAGTCGTGTTTTAATGCTTATCAACGCATCTCATCAAGCGATTGTAAATTACTAGTGAGTGGATGAAAAGCAAAATACAGCCTTTTTTTGTGAAAAAAGGAAAAAGAAAAATGAATTGTTTACTCATCAGTAATTTATAATTGCTTGATGAAATGCATTGATATGCACTGAAAAGCAACTGCAGTTGTGTAGCAATTTTGACATGTTTTTTAATGTAACATCCTAAAATAAAGAATATTGCTCTACCTTGTATTGTGCCCTCTTTTAAATTAAATGTTATGAGCATTGGAATTGTACTCTATTTGTTCTCATCTTACAGGATATATATATGGATCTCATCTTACATGGATATATATATGTGGCCTGACGATTTCATATAGCATGAAACAGACTGTCGCCTCTAAGTGTTGACTTCTATGTTCACTTTTATATTTAAACACGCTCTATCTCTGATATTGAGCACTTTATTCCATAAATATAGCACACCTTAAGACTATATATCTTTATATATATATATATATATATATATATATATAATGAAAAAATAAAAATAAAATTGCAACAACCTGCATATGTTTCAATTTCCTGAAGATTAAACCTAAAAGTAATATAGATTGATTCCAATAAATGATCATAAATAAAGATCAATACATTCATGGGCTCCAAAATTAGTTTCTTTTTACTTATTATAATAAAAATACCTTGTGTCATATTCCTTATACAATCAAACATATTTAGAATAGGATTTAATATTAACCAACTGATGTTCATACATTTTTGAATCATTTCACCACAAACAAAATGATAAAGATTTTTTGAGTCTTAGAGAATATAGGGAAGGCACACTATTAAGGAGAGAGAATAATAAAAGACGTATTATTAAGGAGAAAGAGCAACAAAAACACACTATCAAGGAGAGAGAAGAATAAAATACATTATTAAGGAGAGAGAAGAATAAAAGGCACACTATTAAGGAGAGAGAACAATGAAAGACACATTATTAATGAGAGAGAGCAATAAAAACACGCTATTAAGGAGAGAGAATAATAAAAGACGTATTATTAAGGAGAAAGAGCAGCAAAAACACACTATTAAGGAGACAGAACAATAAAAGATATTATTAAAAAGAGAGAACAAAAAAGACACATTATTAATGAGAGAGAACAATTAAAGCCACACTATTAAGGAGAGAGAACAATTAAAGCCACACTATTAAGGAGAGAGAACAATAAAAGAACAAGAAATAAGTAGGGAGAAGAAAACTATTGACATTGCATTTGAATATATTTCAGAATATATTTATATATGCTATGGGAATTTCATAATATATGTTTTGCTTAGAAATATTTGCAATAATTTATTTGATTGTGAGAGATTTTATTGTGTAACTTGAGAATATTTGTAAATATATAATTGTAGGTTGTTCTCATCGTGAAAAAAGTTAAGCAACACAATTTCAAAGACAATGAAATGTGTTTCAGTAATGTTTTTGGCTACTTTTGTAGGCAATAAGATGCCTTCATTGTCAAAACAAATAGTGATTGTCATTTTACATTCCCAGACAAAAAGCATTTTGAGCGATATGGGTCAATACTAAGAAGGTTTCAGCTCATGAATATATATATACAAGACAATGTTGCTACATATTTTGCAAAGCCAACTATTGGCTACTTTGACAAAAACGGTTTCAAAGCCACAAAATATATCTTCAAATATCAACCCAGTTGAAAACTTGCAGTTCATCATTAAAAAAGCAATATACAGGAATGGAGAACAATATTCCAGCAAAGATCTCTTGACAGCAATAATAATAATTTTTATAGCTGTAGAAATGCTTTTAAAAAGAATCAGTGAATACAAGGCTAATGAATGTTATAGGATGTCATCTAGCCCATATTAAGTAAATAATTTATTCATATATATATGGGATATTGCAGAATAAATTTATGTATTTCTATGGCCTATAACATTGCCCTTTTCATAAAACTTGATAACCCTAGCACATATTTTTCTCAATATTGTTAATAAGGATAGACATCCTCTTCCTCAAATCATCCTCAAATGGACATTATGTTGAATCGTTAGATTCAGTAATCATAATGTTTTTCAGTTACATTTAAAGTGACTGGTACAATTAGTGGTTACTGATGGTTGCAGTGTGTCATTTTTAGAGATGATATCACCTTGCCACAGAGAGCAACATTGCTTTGGCATGTAGACATATTGTCATTTGACATTTGAAATTAATAATTAAATCAATTGCTGATCGGAACAGAAATTCTGAAACATATATCAGTATTCAATAAAAAATATCTTATATGTTATATAGATGTATGTACATAAAAGCAATAAACATAAATTTGTTTAAAATTACAACTACAACTTTGAGGCCAATAACAGTGATCATCAAGTAATAGATAGATAGATAGATAGATAGATAGATAGATAGATAGATAGATATGAACAGACTGAGATATGAAATGAATTTGGTAGATAGACTGATAAAGATATGAAGATAGATAGATAGATAATGAAGAGACTGAGATAGATAGATAGATAGATAGATAGATAGATAGATAGATAGATAGATAGATAGATAGATGGATAATGAAGAGAGTGAGATAGATAGATAGATAGATAGATAGATAGATAGATAGATAGATAGATAGATAATGAAGAGAGTGAGATAGATAGATAGATAGATAGATAGATAGATAGATAGATAGATAGATAGATAGATAATGAAGAGAGTGAGATAGATAGATAGATAGATAGATAGATAGATAGATAGATAGATAGATAGATAGATAGATAGATGTAGTAGAATGAACAAAGGGACTGTATGGATATGATTCTGTTGAACAAGTGAAAATGGTTTGTCTGGCATCTTCCTTACCATGATAAGTGCTTCAGGTCATCCCCTCAGACATTGGTCAAGCTGATTCCTAATCACATTTGGACAGGGGCCAGCTTGCCACTTGACCTCGACTCACCAACAATGCCATAGGAGTCCACCATTCTGTCAGCCATTGTTCTAATAACAAATTCCCTTGCTGTCTGCACCAGCCAATACAGGCTTCATGCTCCTCTTAAGTAAAGATTGCCAAACACTAAATAAGCAAGTTCCTAAAATATTAGCTCATATTTTAGCTTAAGACTTTCATGAATCTTTCTGGTGACAATTTTCTGATTGCTGTCTATGCTTGTAACATTTAAATTCTCCATTTCTAGAACTGGCCTTCTGCTAGTTTTATCTTCACAGCAATCAACAAAGAAAAATGCAGCATTTTAAATCTTAGACATGAACAATTTTTATTATATTATTGATATAATAACATAAACCAGAATAAGATATTGAATTCAGAAATATATGAATATATATACACCATGCCACTAGTCTATATACAAAGAACTGTTAGGTTGTACAGTTTTATTTTGTGCAAAATACATGAAAATTTAAGTAGCTTCCTATGATGAGGACAACATATATTATTATTATTAGTATAAATTTAAGCTTTCTTATTTTACATAGAGCACTGTTTTATTATTATGACTAGTACTTACTTTGCACTTTATATATAATTTCTTGGCAAATTGCTAGAGGCCCTGATCAATTCTGAATTGGTTAAGCATCTCATATTGCAGCGCCTTCTTTCAGACAAGCAATATGGGTTTTACTTCTGTAGGTCAACTGCTGATGTAATAATGGTTATTGCTGAAAAAGTATATCAAGCTGTAGATACAAATTTAGATAGGAAATGATTATATTTTTAAGAAGAAAAAGGAAATCACACCCTGTTTAAAATAATTTTACTTCAAGAGGAAATCCATAAAAACTGGAATAAAAAAAAATCTTCTTGAAACTCAGAGTTTGCATTCATACATAAGTGAATTATTTTATTCTCTTACTAATTATATATTTGTATTATATATATATATATATATATATATATATATATATATATATATATATATATATATATTATTCAGACTATAGTCCTCATCTTTGTTGCCATATTTATTACAACGTTTTGGCCGTTATATGCTCTGGCCTTCTTCAGGTGGTTGGAATGTCGAAATGCACAGACACTCTTTGAAAAGGTATGAATCCATTTCTTCTCCTCCAACCCATGAGGTAAATAGTAGGGAAGACTGGATTCTCTGTATATGCATAAGCAATTATTATATTTGCATAGACAGATAATTTTAAACATCGTTGGTTGTAGAACATGTTGTTGTTTTGAAGATCGATTAAGGCATGACCTGTAAGTCAAGACACACTGTTGTTATCTGTCCACATTGGTTGATATCTACAAACATTCTAGCATCGATATTGCCAGATATTTTGCAAGAATGACAATGTACTCTAGCTAATCTGTAAGTCACAAATGATAAACCACAAGTAAACTTCATCTAATCTTGTCTGACTTAAAAATCCTTTCTTTACTGGATCAAGATTTTTTTCTCTTAATGCTCAAAGCTTTCATCCTTCTTTCTTTTAGTCTGAACTAGAAGCTCCTCACCAAAAAGAAAATCTTGTGTTTTGCCATTATCAGCAGATTTTTAGAAGTGGGTTGGGCTGAAAACTTTTCAGCACCCCTCGTACATATACGCACAAAAATACATACAATTTCTGTCTATATTTCTGAGATGAGGTATTGTAACTATTTACGCTATTTACATTATTCGTACTGTTATCTTCATCTTTATTGTTATATTCATGATGTTTCAGACATATAGCTTGGTGGATAAAAGCACTGGTTCAAGTAATCCAGTGACTTCAGCCAAAGAGTTGTGAGTTCAATATCTGGCAGAGGTGAACAAAAACTTGGAGAGTTGAGTTACTAAAGGGAAATAACTGAAAATAAGAGATGCAGAAAAGGCATGGCATGTGGAACTAGAACAATCTACACCAGTAGACAAAATAAAGGGTTTAATTTGAAATTCCAATGTATATCATCTGAAGAAGGCCGGAGTGTACAATAGCCAACTCATCATGATTATGTCAATAAAGATGAGGACAACAGTCAAAACAATGTAAATAGTGTAAACACCTGCACAATTATATTGGAAAAGTTTGTGCCTGATTAGAAAATTAAAAACAAAATTTTATATACTCCGAAAATTATTTATTAATCAAGTACATAGTCTCCATTGTTGTTTACAACTGTCTTCCATCGTTTTCCATGTTTATTGATGCCATTTTTGTAGAAACTGTGCTTTTGTTGGAAGAAGGTTGTGAGGTAGTTTTCGATTGACTGCACAGAGTCAATTTTTCTGTCATTTAAATTGTTCTGTAGAGATCAAAACAGATAAAAATCTGAAGGAACTAAGTCAGAAGAATACAGTGGTTGCTGGAGGTGTTTCCAATTTCAAATCTTTAAGATTCTGCAAAAAGAAGCATAGTGGAATAATGGATAGTATCTTGAATTGATGAATTGGAGAGCTGAGTTCAGATTCAAGTTGAATCCATTACATTTACTTACATGCTAAACTCTTGGGAAAGGTACGAATCCTCTTCTTCTCTCCCCCCACCAGCTATGGGTAAATGGCAGGAGAAACCAGGTTCTATAACTGGTCTAGGAGAAGGAAAAATCTGAATTCAAAACCTGATCCTCCAGATTGGGGGTTGCGTAATAGGCTAACAACCTACTCACTTAAAAAACTGGCTTGTTATAGAAATTGCAACCATATCTTGCAAACCCTATGTTCCTCAAGGAATTTAAAGGCATTATATATATATATATATATATATATATATATATATATATATATATATATAAAAGTGTATATATATATATATATATATATATATATATATATATATATGCAATATATTATATATATTATTATTTATATATTATATGCACAGTACTGATTAGAAAGGGCTAAATATCAGAGGTAGAGCTAACATATTTGGTTGGATAGATGTGAGTTTGTAACCCTGGGTTTCCCGTTTTTGCGATCGTCAGACAAACTGATTAATTTTTTAAAAATTTTGGATTTATGTAAGTTGTGTGTATTGGTGTTTTTATGGAAGTGGAAGGGAAAAATTGTTGTCATGATATCACTCATACTAACGCAAACATACATGCATGGCCATACACCCATTCAAGAGAAATTGGCTACACATCTTATCATTGAAATTCAACAATAAAATACGTATGTATGTAGACAACAGCACACATATACATATATATGTCAAGTCCCATACTGTCCACATATGTTTAAGTTTGTGTGAACTCCAGTGGGTGAGCACATGTGTATGTGTGTCAGCGTACCTCACTGGGTGTATGGGCATGCATGTATGTTTGCGTTAGCATGAGTGACATCACAATGACAATTTTTCCCTCCCACTAGGATAAAAACACCAATACACGCAACCTACATAAGTCCAAGATTTTTAAAAAAATTAATCAGTTTGTCTGACAATGGCTAAAGCGTGAAAAACACAGTGTCACAAACTCACATCAATCCAACCAACTAAATATATATATATATATATATATATATATATATATATATAAGATTCAGCAAGGTTAATTTTTCAGCATGTAGTCATGGGTTGTCATAGTGGAAAATGACATCTTTTCGATTTGCCAAACTAAACAGTTTTTCTTGAATCTCCACATTGAAGTTGGTGAGTGGGTCACAATACTTCTTTGAAGTTATTGTTTTGCTGGCTGGAAGAAACTCAATCAGCAACATTTTCATTGGATGCAAGCCAACTTTAGTCACAGGTTCTGCACATTCAAAAGTTCTGTTTGCATTGAATGTTATCCAACGTTATCAACTATGACAAGAATAGTTCATTTTCATAGTTTAACAGCAAAGAGATTGCCACAGAACTAAATAATGCTTATTCTGCCCTATCAAAGAATGTGGCACCTACATGTCAAGTTTGGAAACAAACCCGAGTCACTTCAAATGGTGAAAGACCATTGAGATATTGATTTTTAAACACTTAGCAAACACTTCCATTGAAATCTTTGGCTTATTCTCCACAATGACAAGCAGAGCATCTTCATCATTGCGGGTTGATTGATTTTTAAACTAAACCATCATGACTGACGGGTTAGTTTAAAATCACCTTCATGAAATATGCCAAACCATTTTCTGACTGTCTAAAGAGCTGCAAGAGGGTCCAAATAAATGCTTGCAATGTATATTGTCGTAATTCCAATGCTTACACCTTTCCAAAATTCCTAGAACAAAAATGCAACTTTTCATCTTCCACCTTTGAAGACATTCATTCATGGACATTCAACAAAGTCTGACTCACAAGTGAATGAAGCAAGTTTTCAATCTAGAACAAACCAGAAATTGGGTAACAAAACAAACATCAATTTGAAGTTGCTGGCATTTTAAATTAACAGTGAATATCAGAAACAAAATTTTGCAATGACCTGATATATATATATATATATATATATATATATATATATATCCAAATGAAGAGAATTTTAAAATTGCCGTGTATTTAGTGAATAAAATAAAGAATTGTATTTTAGGTTCAAAATTGCATAAAAATTGATTTAATCATGCCAGAGCCCACTTTAAGAGATTTATAAAAAATTTGTATAAATAATTTTTAAAACATAAAAATTAACCTATTGTTAGAGATATACATATCTCTCAGAATATTTCTTTGTAAATTAAATGGTTAATCTTAACTGGAGTTATGTTGTCAACTCGTAATATGACAGTTCCCCAAGACATGTATGAATGCCAACCCACCACCAATATCTAACCCATATTTTTTAAATTTTTCTGATTTAGTTTTGACCTTACTTTTGATTAGTTAAAATGAGACATATCATTAAGATTTTTAAATCTGGATCCCTCCCACTCCATCTTTAATAGGCAACTTTATTGTTTTCTATTTTCAAATGTAAATCA